GACGGGGTCTTGCTGGGAGGATAGCCAGTGAAATTCCGGTTCAGACTGTCTCTTCAGATTTATTTTGATGGCCCTGGTGCTTTTGAAAAGGAGCTCAGGGCTCTCCATGTCAATCAAAACAAATGCAGGCCATCACCAAACAATGTGCCAAGATTTTGGATCAAAACAGTATTTTGGCCACTGTCCGTTTGTGGAATCGACGAAGCACGATACACTGAATTTTACCACAGATCCTATGGAGGTGCGATGTCAATCCCCACAAATGGGGAAGGTCCTTCACGCGTTTTTCACGCGCTTTTCCTTTTCCTTTTTTCGAGGGTGGGCTTCCTATGAGAGCCACTCTCCGTTTGTGGAATCGACGAAGCACGATACACTGGATTTTACCACAGATCCTATGGAGGTGCGACGTCAATCCCCGCAAATGGGGAAGGTCCTTCAAGAATTTTTCACCTGTCTTTCCCTGTGGACAAAGTAGGAGATGACCTAGATGTCAGGCAAGTTTATACCTGCCTCCGCCTCCTTTTTCTTTTCTTATTTGATTTTCGGCAGTACTCAGATGGATGAGGGCTCAATCTCAGGTGCATAGCCTACCAAGCGCGGGCGCGGTAGACCCAAAGGATCGCGAAACAAGATACAACGATCCGGACACTCTCCACCTCCTGCCCCCCGGCCCCGAGGTCGTCCTCCTGGTACTGAGCATTTGCAAGTGCTCGAGCCGAGTCCGGGATTGACAACAAGCCATAAGTGAGGCAACCAGTTCCCAAGCTCCCACCACCTCGCCAGCTCTGTTAACGTTGGAAAACGAGTACTTTCTTCGATTTTTAATCAGAAAACTTGTTCCTTGCAGAATTACAGACTGTAAGAGGAACGGCATCTGTGATTCGTTCAAGGCATCACCCTCTTTATAAGATTACGCTTCTCTGTCCGTCTGAAGCCATTTAAACTCCGCCATCTCCGCTCCTCGGCCGCATGGCCAGTCCCATCGCAAAACCTACCCCTTATCGCGAGCTGCCCTTGATCCTCGGGTTCCAGAGTACGCCGGCCCACAGGCAATCAGTAGTTCGGCATTTCCGGCACCACGTTACCACTTCCAACTAACTTTGACAGATACTTCCCTGGCACTAATTTTGACAGATGTCTCCCACCACATCGAAACAAAGGCGGCAGCGGCCAACATGTTCCTCCTGGTGTAAACAGTGTCAAATGTAATCAACCCCTGGAAAGATACAAAAATTAACAGATTGCCCTACAGATAAGTTTAATTTGAAAAACCTTCACCTCTCGGGGACAGAATTTAATAGTAGGGTCGAAAGGATCCTTTGTGGACCCCACAATGAATACTCGAATCGATTCAGCTCAATTCAATGAAGTCAGTAACTAGACAGATAAACTCCAGTTTTTGTTGCTGTATAAAATTTCAACTCATTAGCGATTTCCCCTGGATTTGGAACACCTTCGACAGAATTGAAATTACATTCGAAGGAGAACAGAAATACACCAGACCCTGCGCAGTGAATAGCCAAGCCAATTCCACACAACTCAATTCAACCAAGTGGACCATAGATTTGACTTGTGCGTTACCCTTGAAGAGTGAATAACTTTCACGAAAGGGGATGGGAGGCCGCGAAGCGGCCGACCAGTCCCTTGTGTCTCTAAAGCAAACAAAGCTGTCCACTCAAATAATATCCACCCAATTCTTACCTCCCAATCCTCTACATCGACCCGGCGCATTCCCGAGATCGTAAATACCTCTTCTAACGACACAAAGCCGCGGCGCACGAATCCGAGCCGTCCCAAAAGAAAGCGCGGTACCCTCAGATAATCCATGGGCCCCGGCGTTCCTAAGCGGGACCTAGCCGTGTGACTCTACTCGGTCTCGCAACCGATTTTCCATCACCCTCGGAATGGCGGGGTTGCCCACATTTGCTCCTTGCCTTTCACCGCCATACTTAGCAGTCATTTTACGAGTACTTATGTTTACATAATACTCGTTTTTAGAATCTCGCAGCGAGAACTTTTGAGAAAAGTTTTCATTTGTCACCCTCGAAAAAATGCTTATGATTTTAGTGGCTGTCCCTGTTTTGGTTAGAGTCGATACTGACTTTATAGTGGCTATACTCAATGTTTGTTTGTCAACCTGCATTTTTGATGGCATCCAATAACGTGTTGTCCGCTGGATCGTTTGGCATCGGTGTCAGGATCTAAACTCAGTACACCACCGAGCAGAACTGATCCAAATTTGAGGTCAGAGTTAGATGTTATCTGATGTTATTGCCCGATGTTGATTCGTCTCAATTCTAACGTCGAATATGTATTGGTACAGCCAATCAAACTGACCTCAGTCTGACGAGCGACATCAAATTAACATCCAAACATGAACCTCAAATCAATGTAGTTTGCGATATAGATTTAGTGGGCTCTCTCGGTCATACTGGTTGTTTAATTGGGTCAAAATGGTATCCACATGAATCATCTTATATCCTTAGTTGCGACCAATGGACTGTCCAGTCTACGCCTCACAAATGTTGCACAGAAAGCGGACAATAATGGATAGACAAATGAAAACAAATCGCAAATTGGATTACTCGTGAATCACAAGCCGTTCTAGTTACCACTCTCGCCCCCGCTCGCAGCGCCGCCGTTCTCGCCCCCGCTCACAGCGCCGCCATTCTCGGCGCCCCCGTCATCAGCGCCCTCAGTCCCGTCACCGTCTTTCTCGGCGTCTTGATCCCTGTCGGTGTCTTGCTCCTCAGTGTTCTCGAGATCGAACTCGGCTGGGCGCCTGCGCTTGGTTCCCTGCCGCCGCGAGAACCGCTGAATGAGGGGAGCGAGGGAGTGAAGATTACGCAGCCATTTCGGGGTGGCGGAGGAAACAGCGGCCCCAGTCTTGAACTCAGACTTAGCCGGATCGCCATGAGTTTCGATATCATCCTCGTAAACAATCTGCAAAGCACTGGAGCACGATGTGAGCCAAGCCCGACGGCGAATCAGCAACGAGACAGAGACGTACGAGACCAACTCTTCCGAACCCTCGTTACGCAATTCAGCCAACTGCTCGTCGATCTTCGGCCAAAACTCTGCGGTTGAATGGCCTTGGGAGCAGTGAAGACGCTGCGGGAAGAGTTTGCATAAGAAGAAAATAAAATGCTTCTGAAAAGGATAACGCACGATTAAGGCGACACGAAGATAAAGCCGCATCGTGGCGTTAACGTGTTCTGAGTGCACGACAAGGCTGGCGGTGGGCGTGGCAATGTCAACCTTCTTCCCGATGAGGGTATCGGCAATCTGAAGCATGGTCAAGTTGCGAATGAGTGAACAATTGAATAATTACCTTCTTCTTAAGTGTGGAACTCTGAACGCTGTACTCCCGAGCAACGTCCTTGACAAGGCCCTCGCACTCGGTGCTGTCAGATGGAGGAAGGTCCGGAGTGTTTCTGTTTCGCATGGCCTCCTGCGATGCCACTGTCAGACGGCCGCTGCGCCGAGATGGAAGTACTCACAATTATGGTGTTTTCGTTGGTCCCAGCATACCAGTGGACGTTTGGAAGGAGCAAAAGAGCCCACACAAACTTCCTGATGTTCTTCTGTGGATAAGATGTGAGCGGTTGAGCACGGTGGCAAGAGTGGCATACCAAAAGGATTAAACCACTCATTCAAGATCGCGTTGCATTCCACAAGGAAGCCTCGTTGAAAGCCCAGGCTACCCGGATGACCAAGAGGCAACAGGCGGCTGCAAAGAAGCGCGAGAAAGCTGAAGCGAAGAAGCGAGAAGCGGCGGAAGCTGAAGCAGCAGCGCAACGAGCCGAGAATGCTGAGGAGGAGGAGGAAGAGAATGAGAGCAGCAGATGATCCCAACCACTCGTTTTCCAGCAACAATGCTCCCGATGCTCCGATGCTCCCGATGCTCCCGATGCTCCGGACGCTCCCGAAGCTCCCGACGCTCCTGACGCTGCTCCTGCTCCGGATGCTCCCGACGCTCCTCCTGCCAACGCTGCTGACTCTCCCGATGCTCCTGTGCCTGATCTGCAGGATTTGACAGATCAGGACTGGACTGACATACTCGGATTTGCTCTCAAGTGGGCAACCGACGAAGACGTTGATTCTTACTTCCGGAAGCGGGAGAGAGAGGAAGAGGACGAGGACGAGGACGACGACGAGGCCGAGAGCGATTTAGAGGAGCGTCCAAGGAAGAGGCAGAGACTGGCGGGGGAAGCCGATGACGACGCAGAACAACGTGGAAAGAAGCGGGCGATACTAGAAGAACACGACGATGAGCGTCCAAAGAAGCGCGCAAGATCGGATACCCTCGAGGCGCGCAACATCTTTGAGCGTTACGAGACGTTCATATTGGATGTGGAAAATACCGTCGACAGGGATTGCGCCGCATTCGAGAGCACCTACTCTGGCAGTGAGGTCGCGGATATCATCGAGCTGCGTGAACGCGTCAAGAATGTTCGGTGCGTCATCCTGAGAATATCGGCGAATTCGAAACTGATTGCCTATGTAGAACCAAGACAGCGGAAATGAGTCAAGTCAGATACTTTATTAGCTCATCTTAAGTTCCAGGCGGTCCAGACCACCAGGAGACTTAAGTGATAGAGAACTTAAGTGATTGCAACAAGGATCATATCAAACACAAAAACAAAATCCACCAACAAGATTCGAACTGCTGACCTTCTGACTTCTGGTAGAAGAAAATAAGAGGAGTTAACCACTACACCAGGAATACTATACATGCAGTTCTCAATTGGACTGTGATTAGATCTCTTCCATGCCCTCTCTCTACCATGTTAAGTACTGCAAATGTATTGACTTACTTGTCATTTCTAGTCATCTTTATCATGTTTCTTATATAGATTAATGTATTGAAACAGATCAATCTCTGAATCATCTATGGATAATGATTTGCCAACAGGACCTGAAGAGGTAAAATAAAACAAGTGGAGAAGGTTTAGGCCATTATGAGGCTAATATTCTATTGTGTGTAGTAACAGAGTATATCCTTCTTGGTGTAGTGGTTAACACCTTCACCTTCTGCTGTTATGAAGTTGGAAGGTCTGGTGTTCGAATCCCCTTGATGGATTTGTTTTTCCTGTTTGGACAGGACTTAAGTATTTGGACAGAACTTAAGTGCTTGGGGACTTAAGTGTTGCGGGACTTAAGTAGAATGGGACTTAAGTTACAGGGGGTGTGGTCCCATGTACAGGCCAACTGCATGCAAGGCAGAACTTAAGTTCGGCAGGACTTGAGTCCTGCTGTGGTTCAGACCGGCATTAACTTAAGTTGAGCTCCTTCAATTTCATGTCAAGTGAGGCAGTGGATAAAGGAGTGCCCCGGCTCCCCCCAGACTCAAACGCCACCTTTCAACCCCGACCTGGGCAGCGGGTTATTGTGGGCCGAAGGCTTGTAACGAAGTTACACAGCACGAAAAATGATGGTTTCAGAGTATGTATCTGTTTCCCGCTCAGGGTCCAGTCCCCTCTGACGTATAGATTTAGGCCCATTCACGGCCAACACCCATAATTTTCCCAGACCATTCTAAATGCTATCGGCCCATTTCTTGAGAAACTTGTTTTCACTCCGTAACATTTGATTTTCCTGTATTTTAAAAGCAAGCTTTTGTTTGAGGTCGTCAATAAGAATGTTATCCGGATATAACACGTCGACCGACTCTGCGTCCCGGATTGAGAGTAGCGCATGTCGTGGTGATGTGTCTGAGATTGAAAGCCAGGTTGTCAAAATCTCATCATCCCTGGGGTCATAATCCGTTCCATTAGGAAATAATGCCTCATGCTTGTCTGCATTGACATCGTAGACTCCAGCTACTGCTCCAACACAGTTTTGCGATGATTTTGTCTTATAGTAATCATCAACAAAATCCCTCTTAGAGCGACCATCCCTTGGAACAAACAGTGGAGTTCCATCTGCAAGGCAATCCTTTCCTGAGTGTACCTTGAGCAGTCCTTCCTGGATGTGCTTCTGGCGGTGCTCACAATTGCCAACCGTGTGTCCTTTAAGTCTACAATAGTGACAAATAATCTCTGCTAAGGTCATAGGCCTGTTGAATGTCGAAACATCCCCAGATCCATCTCTAGACCTTGCAACATTATTACCATGCACCCCTGTGTCGATCATGAACTTTGGTCGAGGTCACCCGTCACCCGGTCGATCCAATGGGCTCTGTCTTTCGAAGACCCTGTCGACTTTGGTGCCATCGCGGACGAAAGACGAGAGGAAAGAAGAAGGAAAGGAAGCGTGATGAAGCGTGACAAAAGATTCAGGCGGATCAATTCTAAGCAAATTCTAAGCAAATTCTAACAAAATTCAGCTGCACCAGATCAGGCCCTTATGGGTGGACTGGAATCCCATCAAATTGACCATGACATGCTCAATTTCGCATGGAATATTGCGCTGGGGGTGCATCTGGCTTGGGTTGACCCAGAAAAGCTTAATTCAGGCAATTGTTGCCCTATACATCTTGGCAACAAACTCGGCTACCGCTCCTGTTGCGCCGTGGTGATAAAAAAACTCTGAATCGACTGATTCTCCCTCGCAGGAGCACTCTGCAATTTCCGAATAGCAATGTATTGAGACTCCAGCCATTCTGGCCCGAGTCGGCCGTTTGATTCTTCTTGCTGCTTCCGTGCCGCCGCTCGTCGTCGTTCTGCCTCCCTTTGCGATATCCCAGAAAAAACTATGGAAAGCCAGAGCACCACGCTCGTTTGATGGCCGGCGCTTACCCGATCGGGCAGTCGGACCCAGAGCACTCCGACGCCGTGGAACTGCCTATCGGCACGCTCGTCGCATTTACCTCACAAGGAGTTGCGCACGAGTTCCTCTTCAGGCATTAACAGCCAAGACTGATTTATTTCCACTCTCTATCTCGAGTTACTGACATATCCTCTTTTCATCCCCCATTGTTTTAATAATTAGGTCATCGTCTTGTTTTCTCGACATATTCCGATGCGACGCACACATCCTGCCGTACTCAACCTCGATCACGTGTCCGTGCCAACAACGAGCAACACGCGCATATCTCGCGATATTTTGGAAAGGAAATACGGCCAGGCATTTCTTTTATGCTCCTCAACTCCAACATCTCATCCGATAATTCATACATATTTTATTCTATATCAGACCATCGAACTACATCTTGATTCATACTAGGTGTTTAGAAACACTCTTGTATACGAAAAATGGTTGACTGATGGGGAATAACCATTTCAGCAAAATCAGACCAATTTCTCCCAAAACTTTGCTGCATTTCTTCATTGCTCCCACCGAAGTTGAGCTGGTTATGCTGTGAATGTGCATGAATTCTGCATAAGATGAGAAATGTGCTGCAAGCAGCCAATCGAACACTTACGTGCCAGCGAGGAGGTCGCCATGATTGGGTTCCCGAAACGCATAGAACAGGACCATCTCTGCATCCCCGAGCAAGTTGCTCTGGCATAGATGCTGAAGCGATAAACTGAGAACATCGGCGAACTCTGCTTGGTTCCTATGAGGATATCAGACAGTGATTGAAACAGCATAGGTTTGGTTGCCTACTTTTCAACATCTCCAGCGTTAGCCTCTGCACGTTTGTTCCATGCGGCCTGTTCCTCGGCACTAAGCGCATCCCAACGCTCTTTGAGAATGTTCTGATACAATGCAGCTGGATTGGAAGGTCCTGTATCAAGTGCCCGCTGCTTCGAAAGCAAGATTGTTGTTTCGTGGGTTTCATCGGCAAACAGCTGCCGTCCGGTCGTGAGGGTTGAGAATTTCAGCAATGGGTTGGCTTTCTTCAAGTCCAACGGCTTTGGAGGGGACCCCTCATGCTTATGGGCCTTATCATACACCTGATTGCGGTAATTGGTGAATTTGCGGACGATCCTCTAAGGCGCAAATGAGTGGATAGATCGGGAACCAGAATGCATTACATTACCTCGTAATACTCCTTCCTTGTCATCGTCTGAAGATCCAGGCTCTCAAAGAGCGGCGAATCTAGGATATTGGACGCAGTGTTTTGCTTCCAAAGGGTGAGCTCGCCGCTTGGCACTCCATTGTCCAATTTCTTTACAAAGTCTGGGAAGAACGATTCAATGTGCTTGTTTTGCTCCGCACTGAACTTGCTCTTTTGGCCCATCGTAGTGGTGGTAGGAATGTGGGTAGGAAAGTCTTTTGATGAAGGGAGAGATGTGGAAGGAAAAAAAGGATGAAGGAGTGGCGATAGACACGATTTTGATTGGCCAATTGAACTAATGGCCCATTGCTGGTCTGGTAAAAAAAATGGCAAACCATGTGCATCCCTCAGGGTTGATCATCTATTATCAAATATCCAACCACGTGGAATGATCCTGTTCTCAAGGGTCGGGTCGGGTTGCAGATGATCTGTTCAACAAACAAACAAAAAGTGGGCCAACACCTAACTCCACTTAGTTCAACTGTGTCCGAACTGTCGGTGAGCATATATATTCCGTTGTCCGAACCTTCGCGGCACCTTCAATCAATTCAATCGCCGGATTTTCTGGGATGTACCGTGAGTTCCACTGCGGAGACAATTTTGCTTTACCTCGGGTACAGTCATCCGATCGCTGAATTTTCCGGGATGTTCCGTGCGTTCCACTGCGGAGATAATTTCGCTTGGCCTCGGGACTTATCCGGGATGTTACGCGAGTTCAACTACGGAGCGACGTAACGGAAACAATTTCGCTTGACCTCGGGAACGTCGGCTCACCGGATTTTTCCGTTTTTTTTCCGTTGTTTACCAATGTGCTCTTCCTTGCTACCCCCTTTAGCTGTTTTGCCAACCAGGGACTCGACAAACAGGATGTTGCGTTCTCCACATTCCCTGTAAGGCACACCTAAATGTATTCACCGGCGTCAATTGGCAAGAGAAAACTTGAACACCGGAGGGAACTATGTCCTAAGGTGCACTGAGTTGTCTGTCGTTTTGCACATCTGGGACACGGGAGAACAACTCTCATCTCGGCAGATGTGATTCCACTGCAACGCGCAGCACTGCAGTGTGCGAGAAGGTATCCTTTGAATAGTGATAAAAGCCGTGCATGTCCGTATCGTCCATCGTTTTCTTCCTTCCACTCTCAGCCTCAATGTGCAGTTCCAAATTCCGCTCTCGCTATAGCGAAAATATCTCTCAACGCGACGAAGACAGTACAGATACTCTCCTGGATTCCGCCATCTCTTTACTCAGAATGCCACACAAAGGTCGGTGGCAAAACATCCATGTACCATTATGATTATAATAGCGCTGCAGCTCCGAAGAGATCGTGGTTTACCACTCCAAAAGCCCTACGCCTCTCATCGCTGATCTTTCACTCGGCCCTGGTGGTCATACATTTGGCTCTTCTCGGAATTTGGGCGAGAGGATTAGAGCATCAATTCACCGTCGCTCTTGATAACCAGAAGGTTGCCTCCTTCTTAATCACTGCAACCTCAACTGCGTTCGGAACCGTGCGTACTTTTTATTTTTCCTTCATCAAAAACTGGCGGCCGATTGATTGACTCGTATTGCAGATATATTCCGCGATGCTGGTGTTCGTGACACAGGCGCTTTCGAGGAGGCAGAGCCTACACATGGGTCAAGCATTGACGGCTACTCACGACAACGCCCATGGCGGGAATCGGGACAGCCCTTTTGCACCTCTGGTATCAAAAGGCAGTTCGTGCATCAATCGGCCGGACCTTGACCGCAGCGTTATATCTAATGACCATCGCGGGACTTCACATCACCATATCCTCACTTTTCTCGTTGGTGACATTCAACTCATCCCGGTCCTTCTTGGCTGCAACCCGTGGGCTAACCGGCTTTCAACGGCACGACCACCAATCCGAACAACATTACTGTGGGTAGTCCCAGTGAGCAACCCGACTTTCACGGCCACCAATGCGCTCATGCCATTTAAAAGTATAGAGATGAAAGTATATGCGGCGGGCTCGCTCTACTTTCTGCCATCTGTTCTTGATGGTACAACAAGCCTAGGACTACAGGACGGGTCATTGTACGATGTACTGGACATCAATACCGTATCTAGCAATGCGACTGTGAACGCATCGGGTTTCAACATCACCTGTGGTTCT